CTCCTAACTAATTGTGACCTGGCTTCTAACTGGAACGAACGGCACCTGAGAGGAAGGAAAAAGTGAAGGGTTCCTGGGGAGTTGTTCTGGTGGGAACACTCCGATGGCTAAGTTAGAACCGGAGGAAATCTCAAAGAGAGCAGTGAGTAAGAGTTCTCAAAGTGCTTAAGCTTCAATACCTATTTTCTGTGTGGGTTCAGGTCCTCTTATGTTGGAGTCAGGCCATACCTGGCATAACCGCCATTGCCCTTGCCATTACTGCCAGGGCAGGCGTGGCAGGCGCAGGTTTCTGCCACAAACAGCCATTGCCAGGTACGGGGTTGAAAGACGTGTCATGCCTTCCAGAGGAGGCAAACAAAACGCCACCTAGCGAGGGATCAGAGCCCTGCCACTGGGTTCGGTGGGTACGGATGTCAGACAGGGCTCCCCACAGCTTGCTGAGCTACCACTTACCGGACTGTCTGGGGCAGGTTTGTCCCTGTACCGAGGTGCCGAGGTGCCTGCACTAGGGGGAGGGAGGACGATGCTGCCCCGAGGTGCAGTCGGGACACAACCACGAGCCAGGGTGCTCCCTTTTCGGGAAGGGAGAACTCCGGGCCCCTTAGGGTGATCTCGAGATCTTCCACACTTGGTGGGAGTCAAAATTGTCCAGGCGTCAGTCCCCGGCGAGTTGCTTAACTCGCCGAGTGGCCAGCGTTGGACTCGGCGTGTTTCTCCTGTCGAGTTCCATTCGTGTTGTCAGGCTTAGTTGTACGTTGGGCCAGGTCATATACACGTGTCCCTGGGCTATGAGGTCAGGCCAAATCACCCTTCATCAGTATTGTTTCTTAGTTTTTTTTCATAGTGAAGAACAAATTTCGTCTCTCCCGTGGATGTAGGCATCAAGGCCGAACCACGTAGACCATTGTGTTCTTTGTGGTGCTTGTTTTTATGTCTTTACTTGGATTTCATCATTTTTGCTACTATTAGATTTCTCATGGTTTCTATTTCAAATACCTTGTGATTTTATACTGTGGGTGGTTGTTGTGTGGCCCCAACAAAGTGGTATCAGAGCTCCCAGGTTAGTGTTTACAAGGTATTTGTAAAAATTGCTTGAAAAATAATGGCAACAAAATGTACAAGTTATCAGTTCCAAATTGAGAGGTTTGATGGCAAAAGCAATTTTAGCCTATGGCAAAGAATGGTAAAGGATGTCTTGGTTCAGCAAGACATGGATAGAGCATTGAAGGGAAAGGATGGGAATCCAAAAGACATGAAGGATGCTGATTGGGAAGACACCGAGTTAAGGTAGGCTAGTATGACTCAGTTGCTCCTAGCTGATAGCGTTATGTTTAACATTATGGAAGAAGATTCTGCACTGGAATTGTGGGATAAGCTGGAGAAGTTTTATTTGGAAAAAAGCTTGACTACAAAGCTATAATTGAAGAGGCAGTTGTACGGGTTGAAGATGGAAGAAGGTAAGAATCTCTTGGAACACCTAATTGTGTTCAATAGTATCTTGGATCAATTAGGGAAGTTGATGTTAAGGTGAAGGAAGAAGACAAGGCCCTTTTGCTTTTTACCTTACTTCCTGATTCGTATGAAAACTTGGTGTCAACATTGTTGTACGGGAAAGATACAGAGAAGTTGGAAGAAGTTACTACGACTCTTTTATCCAATGAGGTTAGGAGGAAGCCCAAGTATAAGAGCGGGCAAAATTCTGCATTGGTTACGCTAGGAATGGATCGAAAAGGAAGGTCGTTTGACAGGGGGTCTGGAAGCAGCAGGTCTACATCCAAGGCTAAGGAAAAGGGCAAGATACAATGTTATAGATGCAAAGAATTAGGTCACATGAAGAGAGATTGTCCTGCACAAAAAAGGAGTGGGGATGAATTTGAAAGTGTGGCAATTGCATCTGATGATGATAGAAATGTTCTCACAGTCTTCGAAGATATGTGCAATTTTTCTCCAAATGAGTGGCTTTTAGATTCTGGATGTTCTATGTATATTTGCTCTAGGAAGGAATATTCTAACACGTTCCAAGATAGGAAGATAGGTTTTGTCTCCTTGGGTGATGGATCTATGTGTAACATCACAGGTGTTGTGACAATGAAAATTAAAATGTTTGATGGAGTGTTCACACTATGGGTGGTATGGCATATATATGTCCCAAAAATGTATAGGAATCTAATATCACTAAGCCGATTAGACTCCAAGGGATGCAAGGTTTTTGCTGTAGGTGGAGCCATAAAAATCACACATGGCGGTATAGTCCTGATGAAGGGAGAAAAATGCAAGGGTTTGTATCATCTAGTTTGTAGTACAGTGGTTCTCAAGACCTCGATGGGATGTTAGAAACGGAATGCGTAATGTAGTGTGGCCAAATGGAGGATCTCTTTTGCGAATAGAGTGAAGACAAGTGTTGTAAGTTTCCAAGGTATAGATAATGGTGAGAGGAAGATTCCTATTGGAAGAGAGGAAGGATCGAGGTCCCTCTTTGAAGTTAATTAGGATAATTAGCTTGGGTACAGTTACACAGGTACATTGGCTATTTTGTTTGAATCAGGTGGAGTCAAGATCGAGTGATTCATGTTATGTGTAGTTGCTAGTAGTATTTTACAAGGCCAATGGAGGTCTGTGGTATTTGCAAAAATGTGGAGGCACAAATAATATATCTCTAAGGTGGTTGAAAAATAAGCCAAAGTGGAGATTGTTGGGATTGTGTCTTATTTTACAACCGCTGGATTAATTTTAATCTAACGATTGGTGTGGTCCATCTTTAGGTTAAAGAGGTTTTACATATAAAAGTTTTCTTTTGTATATAGGGTTAAGGCTTTTGGAGAGAATGTGTGAGAGAAAAATGCAGAGTTCTCTTGGTGTGTGAGTGGGTTTTTTCTATTGTTTTTGTTTTTCGACTTAAGAGGAAAGGGAGAACGGGTGTACAAGGGTTAGGGGTTGGTTTGGGCTCCAAGCCACAAGGTACTTGTATTTTTCTCAGATTTCTTTCATAGTGATGAATAGGTTTCGTCTCTCCCGTGGACGTAGGCAGTTAGGCCGAACCACATAAACCTTTGTGTTCTTTGTGGTGCTTGTTTTTATTTGTCTTTGCTTGGATTTCATCATTTTTGCTACTATTAGATTTCTCGTGGTTTCTATTTCAAATACCTTGTAATTTTATACTATGGATGGTTGTTGTGAGGCCCCAATACCATTGACTAAGAAACTCATGTTCTTTTTTCAAATTTATATGGGGATCAGGGAAAATTTATTTTCTTATTCCCATCTAGGAAAAGTTGTCAAAACTTGGATGGAATAAAAATGCCCCTTTTAATAATGGATTTTTATGGCTAACACAGTCATTGTCTCATTTACCTAGGAAATAAAAGAATATGGGAAATGTGTCTACCCGAATAAGTAACTTACCGAAAAGCGAATGGGGCCTTAGTCTTAAATCCCAGTATTTTGTATTTTGTAGAAATAGGGGTGCCAATTGGACTAGATTTAGTTCAATCCGATCCAGTCCAATGTCAATCCATTACAAATGGACCAGGTCCAATCCAATCCAATGAATATTTTAGACCAATCCAATTCAATGTTTGGATCATCCAATATGTTCAAATTTGTTTTAATCTAGATTGGTTCTAACTCAAACCTGGTCCATTGGCACCAATGTTCTTCTCTTCTATCAATGGATCAGATATTGGATCAATCCAACCCTAGCCAATATAAATTCATTATGGATAGACCAGGTCCAATCCAATCCAATAAATACTTTGAACCATTAAATCTGGACTGGTCCAATTCAATATGTCTTATTGGTCCATCCAATATGTCCAAATTGATTTTGGTTTGGATGGGGTCCCATCCAAAACTGATCCCCCATAGGCAAAAAATATGACTCCTGATGAAGAACACTAGCAAAGTGGCAAGACAGGACTCCCGTAGCTAAATCCAAATAGTTGGTCTTAAGTTGAGTTGATGAATGTTTTTAGCTGAGTTGATGAGTCAAGTTCATTTACACATGGAATGCAAGCCAATGTATGAAAAAACATTTTTATATTTAGTATGTGTTTGAAACCGTGGGCGTTTATTGACTAAACGTTTTATACTTGATTTGTTTGGAAAACTGAGAAAAGCAATAATGAACCCGCTTATTGACACTTAGGCGCCTAATGGCGCCACATCAATAAAATAGTGAATAAATGCCTACCCATTAGGGGAAGCTCTAAAATGAAGGTTCCCCCATCGATAGGCGCACACATAAACCGAAGCCTACTTTTGCAAGTCCCTATGCGTACGGATTCATATAATGGGGGAAATGCTAAAGTGGCGCCTATGTGACTGCATTTATTTAATAAATGCCCACGGTTCCAAATACCCTCTTAATTTCACCTCATCGGATTCAAAGCACCCCTAGATTTGGTTGTTTCTTCTGTTGTAATCTTGGCCTGTAGGCACTTTTGATGCAATAAAGCTTACTCTTTACCAAAAAAAATTATTATAAAATATCATGTTAGTGAGATTATCCAAGATACTTAGGCCCTATTTGGTTTGTGGGAGTAAGGGTTTGGAATCGGAATCGGAACGAGCTATTCCAATTCCAACTGTTTGGTTGAGCGGAATCGGAATCCCATCCTCATTCCTGTTGGAATGGCATTCCCCCATTTGAGGGAATGACCTAGTGTTGGAAGCAACATTTTTAACATTGATCTACATTATCCAACATTCAAGATGATGCCATATCATTGCACCACTGGTAGCAATGCACCATTTTCTCAAAAAACATTGAATTTGGTGTTGCTCTAAACCACACTTTCCCGATTTCTAAGGCATGACTTAGAGCAACATTTTTTTCTGAAAAAATGACACCAAACAAGAGGATGTTGTTTAAAGCACTGCTTTCTCTGATGTGGCGCCTACGTGATGCTGTTTTGTCAGGGCAATGCCGGTTCGAACAGCCTTTACAGCATTGCATTAAGAACATCTCCCTACTCATGTGCATTATTTCTTGGAGAGAGATTCCCGATGCAATGTTGTAAGAGGTGTTACGGTGTGAGCACGGGCTTGCCCTGACGTGATCGAAGCCGATCTCGCAAAACACCCACTAAGAGGAAGGTATCATGGCTTTCAAAAATCTGTTTTTACTCACTTGTACTTGTTATTTGTTAATCCATTTGAGGAACGAGGAGGTGGGTAGCTTGAGTCCCAACCGTTAGTTTTCAAAAATCCGTTGTTACCCACTTTGTACTTGTCGATGAAGTTGTTTAACAGGCGCCATTACAGCTCTCTTCTTCCACTCGACCTCAAGAAGTCCAAGCGAAACCCATCACTGGGATCCAAAATTCTCTTTCTCTGCAAGTCGGGCTCGCTTTTGGGAGCTCTCCAACTCCTGAACTCCACAGATTCCAGCGAAATCTCCATTAAACCCGTCGTCTATGCATCTCTCTTACAGACTTGCACCAAAGCCCATTCTTTCAACCTCGGGCTCCAAATACAATCGCACATAATTAAGTCTGGCCTCGAGTCTGATCGTTTTGTAGGGAACAGCTTATTGTCACTGTACTTCAAACTGAGCGCTGATTTTTCAGAAACTCGAAAAGTGTTTGATTGTTTGTTAGTTAAAGATGTAATATCTTGGACTTCTATGATTTCAGGGTATCTTCATGTGGGAAAACCCATGGAATCTCTTGAAATGTTTGAGAAGATGTTGGAATTTGGGGTTGAACCAAATGCATTTACACTTTCTGCCGCAATTAAGGCATGTTCTGAACTTGGCACTCTAAAGCTTGGCAGGTGCTTTCATGGGGTTGTATTAGGACGTGGTTTTGATTCAAATTGCGTTATAGCAAGTGCCCTTATTGATATGTATGGCAGGAATTTTTACCTGGAAGACGCCTGCCTCTTGTTTGTCGAGATGCCTCAACCAGATGCTATTTGCTGGACTTCGGTTATTTCTGCTTTCACCAGGAACGATCGCTTTGAGGAGGCTTTAGGGTTCTTTTACTTGATGCAGAGGAAGTATGGTCTATTGCCAGATGGGTTTACATTTGGGACTGTTCTAACAGCTTGCGGTAATCTGGGAAGGATGAAGCAAGGTAAAGAAGTTCATGCAAAGGTTGTTACAGCTGGAATATGTGGCAATTTGGTCGTTGAGAGTAGCCTTGTAGATATGTATGGGAAATGTGGGTTGGTTGAGGAATCTCATAAGGTTTTTGATAGGATGCCCCAAAAGAATTCTGTTTCTTGGTGTGCATTGCTTGGGGGATACTGCCAAAATGGTGACTTTGAATCTGCTATTAAGATTTTCAGGATGATGGACAAGGTGGATGATCTCTACAGTTTTGGGACTGTTCTTCGTGCTTGTGCAGGTCTAGCAGCTGTGCGTCAGGGCAAAGAGATCCACTGCCAGTATCTGAGGATGGGAAGTTGGAGAGATGTTATTGTAGAATCAGCTTTAGTTGATCTCTATGCAAAATGTGGTTTTATTGATTATGCATACAGAATTTTTGTGGAAATTCCATTTAGAAATTTAATTACTTGGAATTCTATGATTTGTGGGTTTGCACAAAATGGTAGAGGTGAGGAAGCCATCGGGATGTTCAATGAGATGGTTAAAGAAGGGATTATACCTGACTATATTAGTTTTGTTGGGGTACTTTTTGCTTGTAGCCATACAGGTCTTGTTGAGCAAGGTAAAAAGCACTTTAAATCAATGAGTGATTATGGGATTAAAGCTGGAATTGAGCACTATAATTGCATGGTTGATCTTCTTGGCCGAGCTGGACTATTAGAGGAGGCTGAAGGTTTGATAAACAATGCAGATCTTAAAGATGATTCATCTCTTTGGGCAGCTCTTCTTGGTGCCTGTACAGCTTATTCGGACCCAGTTGTAGCCGAGCGAGTTGCAAAGAAAATGATGCAACTGCAACCAGAGTACCACCTCAGTTATGTTCTTTTAGCTAATGTCTATAGGTCTGTTGGCCGGTGGGATGATGCTCTAAAGATTAGGTTGTTAATGAGAGATAGAGGGATCAAGAAAATGCCCGGTAAGAGCTGGATTGAAGTTAAGAACAACATTAGATTGCCTGCTAATCAAGTGCATTCAGGTCTTCAAGGAAAGAACCGCCCAGATATTGAAGGGTTCGGTTTGGAGGATACAAGAAATGGGTCTGAATCAAATGTGAATGTCACACTCCTTGTTGAAGCATAGGCTTGATTTGACGATTAGTGTTGCCCATTTGTTATGCTTTATTTAGCTACGTTCTGGAAAATGAGGATTTTACTAACTGGATGGCATGGATCCATAAACATGTTTGGAGTATGCATGGTACAATCCCAAGGCAGGTGAGAGGTCTTGGGGTAAATACAATTTTGAAGCACCAAATTGACAGTTGGACTGAGGCTGGCTGAGCTCAATAACATGAATTCTTGTATTTTCATTTGGCTAAATTGCATTATGCACCTCTACAGAGAACCATTCTTCAAGAGAGAGAGAGATATCTTAAATGTCATTTCAATAATTATATACATGTAATTGTATTGGAGATCCAGAGCATAAAATCTAGAGTAGATCAAAGTGGGTGAAAGAAAAAATATATCAACTGGTCATGGTATCACACACTTCTTAAAGAAGCCGGAGGATTGTTATTGGACATAATAAATATGGGAGCTGGAGCTGTTTTCTCTTGTCACATGCCTATATGAAATGGTGTCATTTTTCAATCAGTTTCATTGTTCTTTTGTATGTCCCAAAAAATTTGGCATGGCTTTTCAGGTTCTTTTGCAATACAAAAGGAATAGAAATCATAGGTAAAGGTGGTTAATAGATAACAGCAGTTTTCCAGCTGACAGCAACATATATGGAGTTTAAGATAATCTAAGTGAGAAGCTTGCATTGTTGATGGGGGTCTTTTCTGGCAAGTGGGCTATTATGGCTGTCTTATAATATATGATTTTATAGACTTATAGCCTCATCCTGTAAAGAATCCATTGCAGTAATCTCAGTGTCTGTTATGTATTCYTTTTCATTTTTTTTTTGAGATAAGGTTAACCATATTTTATTAATAAAACAGGGAGTCCATGATATGATTTTATAGACTTATAGCCTCATCCTGTAAAGAATCCATTGCAGTAATCTCAGTGTCTGTTATGTATTCTTTTTCATTTTTTTTTTGAGATAAGGTTAACCATATTTTATTAATAAAACAGGGAGTCCATGAGCAGATGTACTACACAGAAGAAAGAAAACCCAAACAGCTAAATAAAAAATTAGCTAATCCATCTGCAATATGGATTAGCTAATTTTAGCTAATCCATCTGCAATATGATTCAGCTCCCTTGGTGGAGACAGCAAGTTTGCGTTTATATTTTCCAAGGACTCTCTTGCCTCAGCCAGATAATGACTCAACCTCCAAGGACCCCCCCCCCCCTTGTCCTTCAGCCATTCAATGGTTTTAGCAGACTCTCCTACAATAGATAAGTTCTGAATGCCCAATCTTTTTACTATTCTGATTCCGGTGAGAGCAGCCATAACTTCAGCCTTAGTTGAGTCAGCATAACCGGGGCCACTGAAAACCCAACAGATATTACCCAGGTTGTCCCTCAAAATACCCCCAATCCAACTTACACCAGGATTGCCTGCAGCACTTCTGTCGAAGTTTAAAGTCATCCCTCCTTCGTTAGGAGGTACTTGTAGTCTCTGGATTGATTGAGGGTAGGTTGGAAGAAACAAGATTGTTTGGATATCCTATTAAGGTCATTGAGAGAGTCCTTGGAACATCTCAGAATTATCAGTCCAGAAATTACAATGAAAGGAGATATCTGAGATGAACTCTTCAAGAGATCTGATTTTGTTGTCAAATAAGCGCCTGTTTCTTTCCTCCCAAACTCCCCACAGAACTGCATGTAGCACCGTTTGTGAGATTTTAGCCAAACGGTGATTTTAGCCATTTGAATGTAGATTTTCTGGGTATGTTTCAGACTTTTCCAAGGTTGTGTTATTAAGTTGATTATTGTAGAAGTAGCCTTGAAATTTTTATCTGCTCATGTCAGACTCTCAGCATAGAGCTTTCTAGTATCTTTGAAATGGTTTCATGCAATGAATGGTCAACATTAATTTATCCATTTCTTTCTCTTTCTATTGCAAGTGTAAGAAACTTGCAATATCATTTTCCTGATTAATTGATGCCATCGAAAAACAGAAAGAGGTCATCATGCTTCTGCAAGGTTACTTTTTGCACTACTAGTTTTAATCTCAGTTCATGAAGGAGCCTGCAAATCTAAGAGGTAAAAATGGTTGAACTTGAATAAATTATATTACTCTTTGTTGGAAAATTAGAATTTCTTATTTTTCTTCTTTTAATTTATTTTTTTGCAATATCTGTATATTTTTCTAAAAGCAATTTCATCCTGTCTATTAAGACCTGTATAGGTCATTCTGGTTCAGATTCTTTTTAGTTGACACACAAGGTGATGTGTAAAAAGGTAGAATAAAACTGCATTAATTTTTAGGTTTTTCCAATCACTTGTGCCTGTAGCTCTAGCTCAGGTCACTTTCCTAGGGTTTATTTTTGTAACAGCTTCTTTATTTTCTGTATTTATTTCTTTTTGTTCTGGCACAAACTTCTTTGTGTTTATAACTTTAATGGTTATGCATCTCTAAGTAGATCCCATGTGGGTGGCTGGGTGGCTCATCTGATGTCTGCATTTACTCTTCTTCAGTAGATCCCATGTGCTTATGACATCATCCATGGTTTTACCAAATCCTTTATTCAAGAGGGGTGGAAAGGTGCATCAAATATCCTAGATGACTAAATGCAGACATCAGACCTCCACAGAAATGACCCTATTCATAGTGGAGGAATGATATCATATGTCTTATTTCTTCTCATTGTAGTGAAGTTCCTTTTATTTCTTCTTCTATGCAACAAGTTAGTATGATAATACTGCCATAAGCAAGACACTTCAGTTTGCTTTTAGTTAGTTAAAAATGAGCATCTTCTACGCAATAAGTTAACTCGAACACCTCAATTATCACAAGCTTAATTAAACATTGATGCTTCATTTTACCAAACATTGTACAGGTTTTTCAAATATGTTAGTTGATTTATATTTGTGCTTCAAGTATGCAAGAACATTCTGTGGTACACTCCACCTCCAGGTAATGGAACCATTTTCCATACAAATTTAACCATTTTCCATACAAATTTTATAGAAGTGCCATTTTTATGAACTTGATAAATGTTTAAAGAATCCCTTTATTATTTAAAATATTAGAGCTCTCTCCATGAAGAATATTTTCGTTTTTCCTTCAGCGTCATTTGTTTGCAGTGTAAATTGGTGCAAATACCCAAAATCCGCAATTCCTTCGAATTAACATGGAAGGGAACATTTTCTCTTTCTTTCCTTTTAAATCTGAAGCAATTTCCAAAACTATAAAACCATTCAGAACTATTTTTCTTGAGAGAGAAAGAGGGTTGTCACCCGACTCACCCCCCACATCGATCCATTTCATTAGAGTGCCATAGCCATCTACCCAGAACATTGAGCAATGACTTTACCAATGATTTATATTTACCTTCTCATCTACATAGATTATAAGAAGAGCAGTTCTATGATGAGGGTGGCTTCATAGTTGGAACCATGGTTTTGAAAACTGGACCAGACCGGATGGTCAGACTGTTTGTCCCAGGAACTGTTTGGTTCACAGGAATAGGGGTATGGAATCGGAATTGGAATGGGCTATTCTGATTCCAACCATTTGGTTGGGCGGAATTGGAATCTCATTCCCATTCCTGCTGGAATGGCATTCCCCCATTTGAGGGAATGGTCATTCCCTGCCCCTCCCTTGAGAATGAAATCTCATTCCTGCTGATTTCAATTCCCATTTTCATTTCTGTCTGAACCAAACAGACTATGGGAATAGACCATTCCGATTCCGATTCTGGCTGCCAACCAAACGGACCCTAAAAAAGTAAAAAAGTTGCAGGTATACGTTTGCCCAAGAAATGTAATGAAATGAGTTCCTAGAAGTATTTGGCACCAGGCAACATTTTCAGATGCTCGGTCTACAGTTGGAATTTCTAGCAATATCAAAGGAGTGTTAATGTATAACAGAGCATTATGGAATTCTTGAACTAATCGAGCATTCTAGAATTCTTGGATCGATTGTCTAGCTGGCCCACTTGCCTTGCCACTTGTTCGGTCTATTGAGACAGTTAATTTTCACTTGTTCGGTCTTCTACTCTGCTTACTCAGATACTTGTTCACATGGTATCAGAGCAATGACAGATCCTGTTGTCTGCAAGTCTGTTTGATCACCACTTCTCATGGAAATGGATGGAGCCATGAATTCAAATGCGATGTAGATGGTAAACCCTGGCTCTCCGTATTTTCTACACTCTTCGGACAATCGAGGAATGGCTCTAGTTTCGATCTTGCTCAATGGAGAAAATTACTCGTTGTGGCAACAAGCTATGAAAATTACCCTCCAAGCAAAAAATAAAATCTGCTTCATCGACGGATCATTACCCCGACCAGTGATGGCTTTAGCAGAAGAGAATCTCTGGTTAAAATACAACTCCGTGGTTGCATCTTGGATATATAACTCATTGTCAAAGGATATATATGGCAGTGTAGCTTTTGTTGAATCGGCCTTTGAAATATGGAAGGAGGTTGAAGATCGATTCTCTCAAGGTGATATACCTCACATCCACCAACTCAAGAAAGATCTCAATGGCCTGCAACAGGGAGAACTCACTGTAATGGCTTACTTTACAAAATTAAAGACCAGGACGAATTGGCGGCAATGACTCGACTACCTGAATGCACATGCAACATGGAATTCTTGATTGAAGAACGAGAAAAGCAATGAGTACATCAATTCTTGATGGGGCTTAATGAATCTTACAACACAGTAAGGGAAAACATCACGAGTCATGATCCATTGTCGTCGATCAACAAAGTCTATGCCCTGATTCTTCAAGAAGAATGACATCAAATGATATCTTCCCTTTGAGGTCCAACCTCACTTGAAGCAGTAGCTCTAAATGCGTCTTCACAACAGAAACAACGCAATGCCACCATAACTAACTGATACTATTCGACCCTAGGTGGTGCAAGAACTGAGGTTACAGTCAGATAATCCTTGCCAACTGGACGGAGCCGAGGTGGAAGGACAAAGCCGCACAATAAGATCTGCGAGCAAAAAAAAGTAAGAGGCCCGAGGAGTTATCCCCGGGTAGGTACTCCGACGCTCAAGTCAGTAGAAGGTAGTGGGCGGTTGGGCCGAGTAGTTAGAAAACAGTGCTGATCCGAGTAGAGTAACAATATGAGAGTCAGAAGTTGGATCCCTTACCTTGAGTGGGAGGTACCTTTTTATAGCCGAAGATCCGTGTCCTGATCGGATTAGGCTTCCGGGGTTGTCAAGATGAGGTTAACCGCAGAGGTCTTCGGGATAAGACCTAATCTCCAGCGGGGTTGTCCCCATCTGATCTCCTGTCTTGGTTGTGCCTATCCACATGGAGTCGTTGTGGCTAGGAAGGTGGAGTGGGGCCGCATAGATGACATGGTGCTAAAGTAGCTGAGGAGATAAGGTAGGCTGCGGATGCAGTGTGGTGCTGACGTGGCCAAGGAGATGGGGCGGCCACGTGATGTCCGAAGCCAGCTCAACCATAATCCGAACACTAACCAACAACAATTATCAAAGTATCGTTGTAACCAGTGCAAATGCAATAGGCACACAAAAGACAGATGTTGTGAATTGGTGGGTTATCCACCCAATCGGGACAAGTCACATTCAAATCGTTGCCAAGAGAAAACTCCAATCAATACAAATTGTTCAAGCTCAAATGCAACAACGGATTCTTGTGAAAACAATACCAATTCTCCAATCCCTGGACTCTCTCTCTCTATTAGTATGCCTAACTGATATCCCTCTTGAACAAAGACTGCTTTCTTCACTGTCATCTTATGATGATGTTGTTCTTCTTGACAAGCCAAAACCTATACACTTACCAAATGGTAGCACCATTTTTGCTACCCACAAAGGTTCCATTTGCCTAGGATCACACACCACCACTGATGTTTTACATCTTCCCAACTTTACATGTAACCTTCTTTCTATTAACAAATTAACCCAACAACTCAACTGTGTTGTGGTATTCTTCCCGACATTTTGTGTGCTTCAAGACTTAGACTCGAGAACCGTGATTGGGGTGGGGCATCTACATAATGGCATCTAATCAATTCTCTCTTCCATCAAAGAGATCCTCATTTCATATGGCAGTCTCCAATAATAGTCCCAACATTTGGCACCATCGACTTGGACACACTTTCAGATCATGCTTGACTCTCATCTCTGGTATACCAATTCTACCCTCGGATGTTTGTTGTGATGCTTGTCATCAAGCAAAACAGCATCGAATACCATTTCCTATTAGCAACAACAAGTCCACTATACCCTTCCAACTTGTTCATTGCGATATGGAGGGGAGGGGGGGGTTACAAGACACCATCCCATACCGGAGCACACACTTTTCTTACTATAAATGATGATTTCACAAAATGCACATGGGTTATCATCATTCATGTATTGACACCCACAGCAAAATGGGGTAGCCAAAAGGAAACATCGCCAATTCGCCATCTACTTGAAGTGGTTCGTACTCTTCGATTTCAAGCACACCTTCCTATCTCATTTTGGGGTTAGTGCTTAATGATTTCAATATACATCATTAACCGCTTACCAACCCCTCTACTGTCCGGGCTATCCCCTTATGAAGTCCTATTCAAACATCCTCTAGCATATGATCATTTACAGGTTTTTGGATGTCTATGTTATGCTCAAATAAGACCCCCCACCATCTAACAAATTTGCCAATCAAGCAGTCCGTTGTGTGTTTGTAGGATACCCTTTTGGTCAAAAGGGATACCGTTTGTATGACATCCACACTCTCCACATATTCACAGCTTGAGATGTCATTTTTTATGTCTGGATTCCCTTACCAATTCCCCTCATCTACCTCAGAACAAGTCCCTTCACCTATCTTCCCACCACCACTAACACTTATACATGACGATGACATTGTTGTAACAAATCCAACAAGCCACACATGTTTCCACCCTCCATGCACTTATCCTCTAGTACTCATGTTTCCACCTTCATATCTGATGTTGAACCCATGACATATGCCCAAGCTGCTAAAGGCCCACGGTGGTATCAGGCCATGGCTGATAGAAATTGCTACATTGGAAAGAAATCACAAGTAAAAATTATCATTTTGCTCTGCTTACTTAGATACCTTTTCACAAGGTATGAAAAAAGAATTAAAATTAAAACTAGAGATTATATGGGATTTATACTTTTTTTTGTATCATTTCAATCCTAATCCTTGTCCATACACTACAAGAAAAACGGTCAAAGCCGACGATCCTAGAACTGCCGGCTTAGGCCTTCAGACTGCCGGCTTAAGTCTAAGGCGACGGTCAAGCTTCCGCCCCCTTATCAGCCACCGCCGCCCTAGATTAGGACCGTCGCCGCAGAGGGCCGATCAAAGGCGGTTTAAATTGCTCTATAGCGGCAGTCACAATGAGCCATAGGCTTAGCATTAATCAGGCGGCAGTTTTGACCATCGGCTTAGATACCAAAAGACCGCCGCCTTAGATTTTTGTCAAACTCCTTTGAGTTCTTAGGTGGCGGTCCAAACCGTCGGCTTAGGTGTTAAATGACCACCGCCTTAGGTGTTGTTTGTGGCTAAACTGACGGTTGCATGACCACCGGCATAGATCTTTTTTTTCGTTTTTATTCATACCATGTTGATAGCTAAGCCAGCGGACATGACCATCGGCATAAACCAATTTTTTTCAAAAAAAAAATCATATTCCCGCTTAATTGCATCATTTTTCTGGTAGCTGAATTGCTTATTGACTTAGAACTTTCACACCTATTTAATATAGCAAAACAATTTGATAAAAATCAATTTAAAATGAAATCTATTAATTCAAAGATTACATTTTAAAATATCCAAAAGACATTGTTCAAATACAATATCCAATTGACATATAAATAGTACATGAACTTAAAAAAATAATCAAATTCTCTAATAATGAAGCACATAAGCAATTAATTGGAATATCAATAGTAATTCAAAATATTCTATAGCATCCATAAGGGCATATTAGCAATGTATCACTTATCAAGGGCAAACAACACCAAAGGTGGGTGGATTCAGTCCTCGCAAAACTGTGCTCACACCGTTCTCACAGCCCTTTTCAGCCATGCACCGGGAACATCTCCATATTTGTATCTTTTTATTTATGGGGAGATATTTCTAATACACGGATGAAAATGGTTGTAAGAATGAGTATGAGCACAATTTTGTGGGCACCAAATCCAATTTCACGTCAAAGATGGACCCAAAGCATATGGGTCACTGGACTAGCTTCTTATGATCCTTCCCTAGTAAAAATCAGGTCCAACAAGCTTGATAAACATATATATACAAAATTAGAGCTAAGTTTGATAAACATATAAGCTCAGTTTGGAAAGAATACAAATAAAAATGTGCATGGTATAAATATATACAAAATAATATAAAATATAAGGCTTTGCACTTTAAACTGAGCCATATTTACACATGCTTATTTGTCATGTCAAAACATCTTTGATTTATTATATGCACTTTAGAGAGCCCAAGTTACTGCTAGAAGAAACTGATCTAAGTACCTCTTGAATCACCTCGAATGCTAAAATATTCATGTCCTAATATGTGTGTGTGTGTTGTTACCCCAATCCATGTTATCAATACAGCCTTCTGTTTGACCATCCAAATTAAATATATAGACACTTTGATAGAAGGTGCCAGCTAACTTTCTTGTAATGTATGTAATGTATGGCTGGACATTGTAGAGACTTGAGGTTGAATCCTGCCTTTACCTGGGTTTGGGAGAGAGCTACCCCATTAGCCCATTTTCCCACACACAAAAAAAAAGGATTTGACCAATCTAATATATGCCCTGCAATTTGAGAATTTCGGCCCCATTAGCAATAATCATTTGAGCAATGTGAACTGTTGTGCCTTACATTAAGCCTTAAATATCATCTACTAGCATACAAATAAAGAAGTTGATGGGTTAAGAAAGGATGTGAAAGTATCACCTTCTTCCCTCAAATAGCAACTCTTGGTTCTCCTTGGATCACCATATACTTTGTGCCACCAAGGTGTAAGCCAGTTGGAGCAAGTGATCTAGGTTCAGCAAAGTCATTCATGATGGCAGTTATTTCCTCAGGCTTAAACTACAACAATAACACACAAGAGCAATGGATTGCGACTCCTAAAATAAAAATAACAGAAATAAACAAGAGCAAAGTCATTAATACAAAATCTTTCTTCAGGGTTAAACTACACTACAGTCTACACTACTGGAAAATTGTCTTAAAGCTGAATAACCCATTATTTTCTAAATCAGTAAAAATCATCGCTAGATTTTCCCCTGAAAGAAAGCCAGCCAAATATGAGTATATGACAAAAAAGGAAAATTGTGGATATCAAACTTATGCTCTGATATAAAATGCTTAAATATATGGTAACTAACTGCTGATTTTATTAGGATTAGCTTGAGAATTAATTTGACATCAACAAAAACAAAGAATAATACCACCTCTTGGGTCTGTTTGGATTGAAAGACTACGGGAATAAAGAAAACAAACTTAATAAATTCTTAAAAACCACAGTACTGAGGGACTAACATATCCCTGAGACTAACCATTTAAATCTCAAGCATACTAAAAGTAAGGAGAAACAAATGGCTGGTATCCTCCACCTACTTAAAGAGTGCTTCAATTACACGGGGTACAACACCTGGGGAATCTGGTTTACCTTCCTAAAATGTTTATGCAAAGGCTCAACAATTAGAAGTTGTAACAGTTAAATATCATTGGGTCCTCCTAAATCTTCATTAGCTTATCAAACTATAAAAACAAGACTCAGGCAGGTCGACTTCATGGTTCTTATGTGTCTCTTGCTCAAATTATGACTAGTATTTCCAAATATTTTTCAACTAGAATATGATGAAAGCATGATATGCTAGATATTGGCTTGCAAAATTATGTGGCTGAAAATTTCCTGATTTAACACCCATGCCCTCTCCCTTTAAGGCCACCTACTTCATTCATATGATGAAGCTGCATGCAATCAATATCAAAATATTAAAGGTAAACCAGTGGTCTTATGACACCTACAAGTCTGACTTAATTTGAGACTCAACATTTTGTAGCTGCACCCAAATTTCTTCAGAAACAGATGCCAGGAACTTAGAGCTTTTCTTGCTTGTCTGCAACTTCATTTTGGTTTTAAATCTTTTCAAAGCCAATGCAAATAAGTAAATCATGTAAGGGAGATTTTTGTACAGGAAATCATTTTTACATTGCTGGTCAAAACCAACCATTTACAAAATTATATTATTATTTTAAGGGAAGATGAAGAGAAAGGGAAGATTGGATGTGGTTATTGGAGCAAAGCTTCTGGACTAGATGTTGATTCCACTAGAGTTGGATGTGGTTGGAACTTTTACAAAGGCAAACACAAGTACTTGGCCTATATATGTAAAGGCTTGTGATTTGGGTCAAAGTTCATTTTACATCCAATATGTCCTGGGAAGAATCTACCATCCATTTATATTCTTCAGGCTCAGTTTGGGAAGAGTATAGATATAAATATGTACTTTGTAGATATATGGTTTAAATTATACTATATAAGGTTTGTACTGAACATATATGTATTTGCATTCTTTCCAAACTGTTTGGAAAGAGTATAAATACAAATATGTACATTTTTACCAAGTAGCAATCCATTAAAATTGGAGAAAATTGAATGATTAACCAGGGTCCAAATGGTCACTTGGTCATCAAGTCATTGGTTTAATCTTGCTTTTGCATTATGGTTTATGTAAGATCCAACAACGCTGACTGCACATTACATCCAAATTTCAACCAATCAGTTAAAACCTACCTAATTTTTCTTGGTTCATATTTCCTAAAGTGTAATTTTAATTTTAAGGTGTATTTTTCATCACGTTCATTCAATCAATCACATCTTTTACTGTACAATGCAGTGAATTAGTCTGCTTACTTTTTCTTGATTCATGTTTAGGTTAAACAAAACAAAGTGTACTTGCCATCGCATTCAACCAATTTTTTTCTTCATAGGTTTTGCTTTTATTCAAAAAGCAAAAGCCATATAGTTTTCAGCAAGAAGAAAACTGATCTGTATTCTCTGATTAACAAAGCAAGTATTGCATTAAAGGCAACCAGAAAAAATAAAGGGAATATATAAGAATAAGTTTTGATGTTACTTAAAACAAATAGGAAGATGTAATGTTGCAAGAATCAGTAAGGAGCACCAATAATGGGAAAAGCCAACTATTTTTTTTTTCTGGATAAATTGTCACCACTCATACTTGCAGCCAAAGCCTTAGAAGTGAGAAGAGCATGATCATAGCAATAGCAATGGAGGTGCAAGAAGAAATTAAGAAGGAAACTCTAAAGGGGGTAACCGACAACATCATTGGGTGAGTTAGAAACATGGTGGTAGATACACTCAATATCATAAATGACATTCAAGGCCTCCTCACTCCTCACTCATTTATTCTGAAGGAATTCTATGTTTTCACATGCTTCTCAAGGAAAGTGTCCAATGTCGTGGCAGGCTAGGTATCAGCCTAGCTAGCAGGGTAATTGAAAGGAAAAATTAAGAAGACTTGTTTTAATTTATACCAATTTTCATAATTTGATGGAGACTGGATCTAGTACTGACTAATCACTCCATGTGTATTCTCATTTCTCACAGCACACTCAGTGTGTTCACCGAGTTTGGACACAAGTAGAAGCTAGAAACCCTTTCCTTTTGTTTTACCAAAAATGGGAACAAAAAAGCACCCTTTATTTTCGTGGGTGGACTACACTCTACAAATGCTCCAAAGAAAGAATGAAAACAAGAATGATATGGATCGATGACCCCAGTACCCAACATAAAGGCCCCAATCCAAAGAATCATATTGATAGAGGTAATGATGCCTCCCCTGCCTCTTTCCACCCAAATACCCAACATAAAGTGGAGTCGAAAATAAATAAATAAATGGCTCCTCTTACCAAAACAAAAGAGAATTTCACAAATAGGTGCACAAAATTTTAGCAAAAGAACTAGATAAAAAAAAAGAGAGAAAAACAACATGAGCATACAAAACATATAAACCTTATAATGAGTAGCCTCCCAAGCAAATAACTTCATGTGGTTAAAAAATAAGAACAATGATCAGAACCATAACAAAGAAGCAAATGATCCCCATCAAATATATAAGAACATTAAGCAAAAACAAAAAAAAAAAAAGAATTTATATATATTCCAATACTGATGAATCATGTTCTACATGAGTAGAACCTTTAAAAATAAGTAAGAAAAAATCATCTTTATCAAAATAACATATTAAACCTTTAAAAATAAAAACCATACCTCCTAATAACACCATAATCTCGAAATTCATCTTTGAGTTCTCTTTCGGTAACTCTGGGATCTAAGTTCCCAACATAGACTCGAGACATTATGCCAGGCCACTGTCAACTGTGAAAGAAAATATAAGGTTTTCAGAAACCACACAACACAGAATTCTAAAACCCTAAGAATGCCGAAAAAACACTAATTTAAGCACAAATATGCATTGCATGCAGGAAAGCAAAAAGTAGTTAAATGGCTTGCCTCTCCAAAACCCTTCGACCTCCTATTCAAAATCCCTTATACCCGTCGACCTCCTACTTCCAAAATACAATTAGCCATGAAGGGTTTATATAGAAGTACCTTCTCTTCTCTTGCTCGAACGAAGAGTCGATGCTGGCTTGAATATCTCCAAAGCAAAAGAAGTCTTCCCCTTCTCAAGTAAACAATGAACAAAGGTAAATGCTAATTTAGAGTCGCATGGCACTTATAACCTAGATTTCCTTCTCATTCTCCATCCGATCAATGTTTCTCCCTTTGTAAGGTTTTTTGTCAAAAACCTAGCTAGAACCAGATTGCCTTTGTGCGGGAAAAAAATTTGGACTCCCCGCATCCGCGTGATTGTATTAGACCGGTTTAATTTTAAAATCGCCGTCTGCCGTGTTTGTTATTTTAGACCGTCGCATCTGTTCCTAAACCCAATGTAGACCGGATCTTCAGGTATCACTATAGTGGCGACCATTAAGACCGTCGGATCTAAACCGCCGGCTTAGACTTTTTCTTTTGTAGTAAATCTAATATATATATATATATATATATATTAAAGTAATGATTTCAGGCCAAAACCCCATAGATGGCTCATTTACATTCAGACACCTCTAAAGATTTAAACAAAATGAACATATGTCATATTCTGATTAGTGGTAGTTCAAGAACAGAACCTACTATATCAAATTTTGATTACTGGTAGCTCAAGAAATAGCCCACTAACATGGAGAGTGGAGCCTAACACCATGTAGAGTTGTGAGAAGTGGGAAGCTCTCACTTTCAATCCTTTAAATAAAAAGAAATTGTGTTATTAATTAATGTTAACTACTAAACTAATTAATTAATTCCAATTATTGATTACTAATAATAATTACTGTTAACTACTTCTAATTAATTAATTATAGCTATTAATTACTAATAATAATTATTTACCGATAATAATTAATTACTGAAAATTATTTTTTATAATAATTACTGCTAATACTTAATTATTGATAATTTATTACTCACAATATTGCTCATTATTAATTCGAAATGATGATTAATGAATGATAGTTAATAAATATTTTCATAATAGTAATTAATAATTCAGCAATAATCATTTCATATTTATATTAACTCATATTAATTATTTTGAAAATAAATATTTAATGTTAATTATTGATATTATAATTATTATCAAAAATTAAAATTAATACATTTATATGAAATAATTAATTATATTATAATAAGTAATTATAATTAATATAATTATATTAGTTAATATAATTATATTACTATTATTACCAATAATTATAATTAATTATTACTAATACTAAGGATGATAATTATTATTTCAGAATGTTAATTAATTAATGATAATTATAAGTATTTAATTAATGTTAATTATTAATTGGGATATAATCATTTTATATTAATATTAATTCATATTAATTATTTTACCAAAAATTGTATTTATAACAAATTAATTACTTAAAAAATAAAAATAAAATAATAATAAAAGTAGTAATAATAATAATACTTTAATATTACTAATTTCAAAATCAATACACTCATAATAAGAATATATTATTAGTTAATAATAATAATATACTTATAAATATTAATGAATTCATAATTATTAATCTATTAGTAGTACTGATTATTATTAAAAAAATGTTAATAGATAAATTTAATTACTTAAAATTATTTGCTGAAATTACCCATTTTAATTCAGATAGATAATTAATTAATAATTTTAATTTCTTAAAATTATTATTTACTAAATAATTTTAAATAGTCTTTGATTAACAACCTTATTTTTGAATAATTGGTTTTTTATGTTCAATAATATTTTTGCAAAAATCCAAATAATTTTTCATTTGCAATGCTCACCATTTTATTTTTCTCTTATTCGGTTTTTCAAAAGATAAAAAAAAATAATAATAATTTTATTTACCTTTTTTTATCATATTATGTATTTATTAAGTTGTTGTCATTGATGATGACAATGATGATGAGTCAACTTTTTGAAAGAGAGGAGTTCTAATAATAATTAATGACTCCTAATTAATTATTTTCAGCTATTAATTACTAATTATATTCACTGATATTAATTAATTACTGATAATAATTTCTTATAATAATTACAGCTAATACTTAATTACTGATAATATTTCTTATTATTAATTCAGAATGATAATTAATAACGATTTTCATAATGGTAATTAATAATTTGAAAATAATCATATTATAATTATAATAACTCATATTAATTGTTTTGAAAATAAATATTTAATGTTAATTATTTATACTAGAATTATTATCAGAAATTATAATTCATACATTTATATGAAATAATTAATTATATTATTATTATCAGTAATTATAATTAATACTTATATTACTTAATATAATTATATATTTATATTATTATCAATAATTATAATTAATTATTACTAAGAATAATGATTCCTGATAAAATTTAATTATAGATTATAATTACTTACTAATAATTAATTCCTTAATTATAACAATGATAATTATTACTTCGGAATGTTAATTAATTAATGATAATTAATAAGTATTTTAATAATGTTAATTATTAATC